AACGGACTCATCATCAGATAAGTTCTGGATGTCACATAATACTTGGGTTTTATCTGTTCCTTCATCATCACAAAAAGTGGCACCTTCAACACTGCACTCATCTACTAGCTGCATGTGCATATTCTCCTCCATGCAATCGAGATTTTCCAAAATTTGTCGTATGTTTTGCAAGGTGTTTATAAACAGGATTTTTAGTAACTGAGTGGTGGAGGTGTGTTAGTACTTGTGATTAGGTGTTTAAAAAACACACAGAAACACCTTGCCATATTCTTGGTTTTCACCAAAATAATCCACCACTTGAATTTCTCCAGTGAGATTCACCAATTGTGTCCCGAATGCATCTTCAAGAGAAAAAGGATCGTTAATAATATTTTGTAGATGCAGAAACTCATGGGCTTGATAACCTTTAAATACAACAGCTCGTGATATTATGGAAACAAAAAGAATTAGTAATTCAAGTACATATAATGTTCCTCTTATCAATCTTTTGATCAATTGAAAAAATAAAAGTAAAAAATCAATCTCAAACTTCAAATATTATAAGTTTTTAATTTCTTATACAACCTGATCAAAAGATATATATATATAAAGACTTTTAACTTCTACCTAGAACATGTACTTTGGAAAAGAAGATTTTCCCACACAAATAGCAGCACTGCAAAAGATTAGAACATGATTATAACTACCTCTGCAACTTTAAAAGAAAAAAAATTATGATAATAAACAAAAAAACAATGAACCTTAATTGATTTGAGAACTGATAAAAAAAAACGCAATTATATTCATTAAAATCAAAAAGGAGAAAATTTACATAGTGTAGAAAAGAATATAACTTTCACTGATTTGAGAACTAACAGAGATTGATTGAATTTAGAAGGGATTTACAGGCGTACGCGAGTGGTGAGACCAGTTAGGGTTTGAGAAATGGTAGGAAAATTGGGGAAATTGAAGCTATAATGGACTCTTCAAATATAACCTTTCAAATTTAGGAACGGCAAAAATTTCCCTCACACCGCTTCATTCCTGAAAACATGGTCCCATCCGAATTCTCGAAGATTGAACATGCTGGGAAAAAATGTACTACTTGACAGCGCATGTTTCGGTTTTTTTTTTTTTTTTTTTAACTGTTGAAAAGTAAAGCGAAGTTGAGGAAAAGCAAGAAAACCATGTGAGCCCAAATTGTTTGTTCTTTATATAATATATATGTGGGGCAAGAAAAGGAGGATCTTGGACTAGGGTTTGGTCAAAAAGAATATGGGATTTCCCATTGGGTGCTCTTTATTCTATATGTTGCTTTTTCTTGAAATGCTGTTGGTTGGATATTTTAATAGATAAGGTTTCTAATTTGGAGTAAACTTGATTTGTCTTCATCTGTAGTTACCACTTAATGTAATCGATTTCTTTGGATTAGTTACTTTGTTTGACAATCATGTTCACTCTCTTTCTCAGCCGTCTTTTTTTTCCAGATACGTCGATTATTGGGTATTGAAAAATTTGAACAGTACATTGGATAGGTTACATTAGACTATACTCACTCTTGTGCTGTATTTATGTAACAAACAGCAAAAACACTATTAAGCACACGTTTCATCCATCCCACCATAAATTAAGTGTGAGGCCCGTTCTCTAGAATTTCATTTTTCTTTAATTTATATTTAAGAATAATGTTATTTGGTTTTATAACATGGGGTGAATATGTGACCTGAAATGATAAGTACAATTAGTCCAGTTTGGCCTCCATGATTCTTCATTAAATTATGATTTATTTCTCTCTCTTTTTATCAACTCATTCTCCAATAAAATAATATTATATGTAAATTCAAAAATTCTTAATTTTTTTTACCGCACATTTTCAAAAAAAAAATTACTATTAGTCATATTNCCAAATTTCTATTTTTAATGACCATCAAATAGAGGCTTATGAATTATGTAAATATTTTAGAATGATCTTTTTCTACTGATTTACCTCTATGGATCACGAACTCCATTTTGAAGTGCATGTGAGTTGGAATAAAGCTATACGAACAAGGCTGAGGTGGCCCTGTTCGAGTAGCATAGCCCTGTGAGTTGTGATTGTGTTGTAAGATACATGCAATGCAACTATGATAACATAGCAATTAGTAATTTACTAGGCCTTTGTTTGATCCTCCATTATTTTCAAAATATATTTTTTTCTTTGTTATTTTCAATCACACGTTTTTCAATAAAATAATATTATACACAAATTCAATTTTTTTTTTAAACACACATTTTCTATCAAAATACTATTCCAAAATACATTTTTGAGCAAAAAAATGGGGCACAAACATGCTCCGGATAAATTAATAAGTTTAGATAATTGCATTAACTTACAGTTGGTCGCCTGGATGTGTTATTTTACACTAAGGACATGGTTTGATGGCGGACCAAAGGCATTTCGCAAAGCTTTCTCCGTGCCTATCAGCTTGTTTGTGCTTAGGCGGCTGGTTTTGCTTCGTCTCAGGCGGTCACTTTCCTTTTATGAAACACTGTTGAGTTGATTAATCTCGTTATAATTTTCTAAATGGACTTGAAAAAAACCATGTTATTTATTGTTTAGGAAAAAATAGAAAGAAAATTTATTAATTTCTAGTTTAGTATCGCGAAAAAAGTAAAATTGTCTAGTTTTAATTGAATTCAGACATTTCTAGTTCATATTTTGAACAAAAATCTTACATCTCTTCTTTATGTTTTATATTATATATTTGTTGTCTCAGGATTCTACTATATTTTTTGCAATAATGCTAGTTATATATTCGGAGTTACAGAAATTTTTACAGATAAATAAGGTGTCTAAAAGAGTGGTTTTTTTTTTATAAAATTTTGATCCAATCATATCTCACCGTAAATCAATCTATAAATTGTGATGTACATATTTTTATTGTTTTTTTAGAATTGATTTAATTGAAAAACTTAACTATTTCCATAGACTCAGGGTCAGTCCTGAGAACTTTGAGGCTCTAGGCGACTATTTATTATGAGGTCTTACCCATGATCTTTTTACAAGAATAGCAATACTTATAAATTGGTTTATATTGCAATGATATTGATTTCTATACTTTTCCTCTTTGGCTTTGCTACTTATAGGATCAAAATCTCAAACAAGAAGTCATCTTACAACTATATTTAAGGTATGTCTTTAGCATAATTTCTCCAAAGACTAACCAATCCAAAGTTGGAAGAATTATATATTTTTTCTTGTTTTAATAGGTTTTGGCTGCTTCAAAATAATATAACGTCGTTTTGATAAAGACCGGAGAATAGATCATGGTTCTTGAAAAGGCAGTAAATAAATAAAATCAAGGATAACACCAAGCAAATTGATGAACATTCTCTAAATACAAGGAAAAGGAGGCCAAAGCAAAGCAAATCATCGCTAAGCGGACAACTGAACACATGCAAATTTTTTGCTCCCTGTAGTTGATATGAATATTAAAATTATGTTTCATCATAGCACGCGCACGGCTTCACCCACAGTAAAGAAGCGAAAACCACAAATATTTCAACACTTAAAAACACTTGAAAAATGCTAAACAAAACCAAAAATTCTTTATTCCAAACTAACTTCAAAACCCATTTGTTTTCATCATCTTACCTCAAACCTATTGAAATTAGGCCTTTCAGAACCCAATTAGCAAAAATCTCAACTCAATTATACCCATTAAATAACGTTTTAATACAAGTACGAAAAACAGAACCCGACAAGACCGAATTTATGGTGGGGGAAGATTCTGTAGAATTCAATTGTCAAAACAGAACATCTCATCATGGATTTATTTTATGGGTGTTGCAGGAGTTGTAGCTTATGTTCTTAATGTGGCATGGAGCTATGTTCTTAATGTGGCATGGATTGATAGCTCCACTGGATTTGGTAAACCATTAATTGACGATGTTTCGAGCATTTCCGAGAGCCCTCAGGTTTGAATTTAGACATTGTTTTGTTTAGAATGGTTCAACTTATGTTCATTAGTATGGGAATGATAAATTCGTCTATATCAAACTCCATTACAGACTTCTAATACTACTTAAGGTGAGCAGTTTCATGGTCCCATATCACCAACAAACAGTTTAATTCAAATTCGATCTCATCCCAATTTGAAGGCAATGAACCACACGGTTTATACCCCAGATTCTGGCGCCGGCGTTGAGATTCACGGTCGTGCACCACCACCATTATCTTCTACCCCTCATGGCGAACAAAATGTACATATGGGTCTTCATGAATATCTCGAATCAACCAATTAGTGAACCGATGGGATTGTATAGTGGGATTGTAGAGTGGGATGAGGAGATGGTGGTGTGGAAATCCGGTGGTTTGTCCGACGGTATGGTGGTCAAATTTGGAGTAGAAGCAGCCGACTCCATAAGCTGCCAGGTTTTTTCGCAGGCTGGTCAAATTTGAAGACGGGCGTTTCCCCTGCAATTTATTAAATTGTGGAGACCCTCATGCAATTATGGGTTTACGGTAAAGTTATAATCTTTTAAAGAATGTGAAGTTTGGTAGGTTATTTACACTTTTTAAAAAACTTGGGCCTATAGTTACAATTCATTCTTTATTTTTCTTTTCTTTTGTTTTATTTAAATAGAAGGGTATATTGATCATTTTATGTTAAAAATTGATGAAAAAAATGTTCATCACAAAGAATGTGAAAGGTATGAACGTTACGCACCAAAAAAATCAAAGGTATGAACGTTTTCCACACAAACCGTCAAAAGTAGGAACGTTTTGCGCCAATTACCCAAAATAAATTACTCATAGCTTCAAGTTAGACTGGTAATGTTACTATTGCCATAATCTTCCTCACTCGACATCCTGCAACTCTGGTTCATCAAAAGGATGGATTGACAGTTTCCAATTCATTAGCTCCACTTGGTGCATCAAAGGCATTTTGGTGATTCCGAGGAATCATCTCGTCTGAAATGCCTTGACAGTAATCAATTGTCATACAGGCTATCATATAATATATTGACAGAATTGCGAATCAGTGTTTTTGCCCAATTGATTCAACCTTCGGCCGTATTTTGGGCCAAAAGATTGGAGCCACCGAAGAGAAATACTGCAGTAGCCTGCTCGATGCATTATGATTAGATTTCGGTAAACTACCTAGTAGCCACTGATACTCGGACAATGCATCATCAGATAACGGCTCCAAGAGTTCACACCGGGCAAGAATTTCAGCAGGCGGCACATTGGCAACAAGGTTTGTGTCGAGCTTTGGTCTACCCTTGCTAACCTCCTCCTGCTCTTCAAATTGTGCTTCCAGGGTAATTGGCGATGCACCTACAATTGCTTCTTTCTTGAAAGGCAATGCTCTTTCGGGTTGTAAACAGAACTCTATCCACTGATACAAGGGTGGAGATGGTCCTCTGACTCGTCCCCCAATTCGATCAGTAGCAAGTCTTGAGGCAGCCGGTACTGCCTGCAGTGTATAACATAGACAACTTGTAAGTTACGGGAATAAACGTGCCCTCACGAGGTTCTACTTATTTCCTGGGATGAGTGCACTACAATACTATAAAACTTTTAAATTCCTTGCCTTGTATTATCCCAGATCTCACTGCCAGCTCTTTCTTGATCTATGAATTCTATATAATGTTTGGTCTTAAAATAAGTGAAAGTAACTTCCTTGTTCCTAAACACATTTGGATAACTTAATTTTTCCTACTTTTAAGTAAACTGGCTACTTTTTTTATTGACCGACTCTTAACCTTAATGTCAAATAACTAACTTCCATCTTTCATCAATAAAAAAATAAGTGTTTGGGAAAAAATTTTGTGGGATTTTAATCAAAATTATAGTCGTTAAAGTCAACCCGTGAGCTCCACCTGTGAGAGGGAAGGTAAAAAATGGTGGCTGATTTGATAGTTAACGGCTAGATTTTTGATTAAAATCCTAATTAAAATTTCTCCCAAACAGGGCCTAAATATCTATTTTAAAACATACTTATTCACTTATAAAGTAGACTTCTTAAAGTATAGCCAATCACAATACATTCCTAGCCCTCACATATAAATGCAGCAGGCAGCAAACATTAAAGACGGAAGAAAAATGAAATACATCAACTTAGGATTAGATGTGCGCCCATTTCATTTTTTAGGAAGATATCGAATTCCCAAGGACACTTGGAACACTCTAAGATAAAGTAGCCCTCACATACAAATGCAGCAGGCAGCAAACATTAAAGACGGAAGAAAAAAGAAAGAAGAAAAATGAAATACATCAACTTAGGATTAGATGTGCACCCATTTCATTTTTTAGGAAGATATCGAATTCCCAAGGACACTTGGAACACTCTTAGAAGTCCAGACGTGGTCGGTCTTGACCATTACAAGCACATCAACTCACTGATATGACACAAGTTCATATCCATTCCATTTGTTACCAACGGCATGAAGACGTGACAGGGAACTAAGTTGGGAATGAAAAGACAAATTTTAAGTATTTCCAAAGATAATGAATGCATGGAAGCATTAGACAGAATATTCGTCAATCACCTTAGACAGACTTATTATTCAATCAAGTATACAAAAAGAAATAATTTAACATGATAGGACACAGCATTCAAGACGTACCCACAAGTCTGCCCATAAGCTAGCGCCAGACCTTGGAACAATCACTGCAACATTTGACATCCTTTTAGCGGCTGGAAGAACATCGCTACTCCATCCAACAGCTACCCATACATCTCCTACCCCAAAGGCTTTAAGATAGTGCAGATTATCAAATAGTTGAACCTGTACAAAGTCATTAAATAATTGATTGCAATTTAGAGAATGAAGGTTGTAAACTGAGGTAATAATAAGAAGTTCAATGAAAGGCAGAAGTTTGCGAATAGGATCCGCTATTATGGCACTAGTCGGAACTCTAAAAATTGTTAAACAAACATAAAAAGTTACACAACCCAAAAAATGGTCATCAAAAGAGACTTAAAATGGATAATCACTAACTCAAGTGGATGAACTTTTTCAATAATAACTAGATTCTAGAATTTAATAAACAAGACCAGCAGAGAAAAACTCACACTGAATAGAAGCTAAACTTAAATTAAGTGAAGAATCTAAAAGCCTGACAAAAACATTTAAAAAAGCGTATAAGGATAAAGTGACATCAAGTGCTTCTTTGATATATGGTAGTACAACTTACTGGATAGTAAATTGAACAAGATTATAGCTTCTTTTTCTTTCCTAATACTATCCTTGCTATCTAATCCACTTTACTGAAGATGCCACAATACTCTTATTTAACAAAATGTTTTCAAGACTACATTTCATTTATTTTACACTCTAAGCTACCTTGTAACTTGAAGGTAAACTTTTTGCTATGTTTAGGTCACCTAAGAAAGGAACGAAGGCATCTTTTTTTTTCTGCTTGGTAAAAATGAAGAAATTTTCAAATACTAGCACCACCTGGCGTATCTCATACTTCAGGGACTTTTGCATTCCAGTTCTCTTACCTGTTGAACAAGTAACGCAAGCTTCTGCAGCACAGCGTGTTTCCCACCAACAACTTGCAAGTCAATGTTGACTGTATTATATGATGCTCCCATGTACTTCAACACTGCACCAACAATCTCTCGTGGTGAATCAACCATTGAAATTTTCCCAGCAAGTTCAGGCCTCCATAAATCTGCCCAGTCCTGCAATGCAACTTCATACTCTTAGGCCTATAGAATACCATGTCAATGAAGACTACTCATGAATAAGTAAACAGATGCTGCTTAGTGCTTGGAGCAATAGTTACACCAAAGGCAATTAGAACCTAAAGACAAAGTAGTCATTAAATTTTTTTTCTCAAATTTTAGTGGGGCCTGGGACCCCACTGGTCACACCTCCCTCTGGCCTCTGCCACAATTCACAACCAGGGGAAAGAATCTAATTAACCTGAATTCAGATAATTTCAGAACGTGTTTTACATCAACTTGATATCTGTGACACTTTATCGGAAGACCTTCTTCAGAATTTTTCTTTTGGATACACAACAAAATTACAGTAGAATGGCACCAAGGGAGTGCAAAGCATTTAGCCATTTACGAAAGCTAAACAACAAGACCAACAGTTAGGCATGACAAAGTAACAACAGAGAAGATCCCCTAGCAGTTTTTATCAGGAGTTCTGAACATAGAATTCCAGATTAACCACGGATGAAACTCTATGCAAGATAATACACCAGTCAAAACCAATATTCCAATTTTATTTTTATTTTTTTAATAGGTAATCAAATAGTTTTATTAATCACAATATTCCAATTTTTTAAATGATGCATTGGAGCTCCTCCATCACTAAGGTAGGATGAGATCAAAAAAATGTTCCTCAGAGCCAGTGTCCGACTACACCATGGTTTGAAAAATTGGTAAAGCAGCGAGGTGCTGATTAATTGCCTCAAGGTATTAATTTAAAAGCCCTTTTGCAGGGCAGGTGCCTCAAACTTTGAGAGGCAAACACTCCTATTTAAAATAGCTAGCCCTGTACTTGTTTCTCATTTTTCATGGACCACAAAAACTAAAATAAACTTGTTTTAAATTTTAATAAAAGTACTGCCAGCCAACCCAAGATTTCAAAAGGCGTAATCGAGCAGTGAGACATTTTTCCTTTATAATGCGAGGCGTAAGCCTCACCACAGCCGAAAAAATTGAAAAATAAACCTTAAACAATCTTGAAAATTCTTAATAGAACAAACACAAAAGCAAATCAATAAAGTAGCAAATAGTCGAGTGTCCTTCTGCAATGCGAACATAATAAGTCCTCTTCAAACAAAAATTATATAACATTACAATAAAAAAGCTTAAAAGTCTCATGCCAATAGGATCGTTGATGGAATCATCATCATATCTAATTCAAGTATCATCTTCCTTATAACTATCAATTTCTATCCATCCATCTTCCGCGTACATTAGAATGGTGCCTTTCCCTACTCTATAGATTCAAACAAAACATTCATCAATATAATTTATAAATAAATGAATAAAAGAAAATTTCAATTTGACAAATATGAAAAAATTAGAATGTTTTATATTAACTTCATTTTGTGTACAAGAAAAACATTCAATTTGCTTCAAGAAAATTTATATTAGGATCATCAGTATTTAGATCAAGTGTGTTTGAATGAATATGACCATCCTGATGCGCAATCATTAATCAGATGAAAAATCATCGATAATTAAAATATATACATCCTCTTTGAGTGCTTCAAGACGTACATGTTGATCTTTGATATTCTTATCATACATAATATAAAACAAAGTATTCAACTTCCTTGTGGTTCATTCAATCAAGCACACACTAAGAAGAATTTTTTTACCACAAAGAGATTGATACTTTCGTTTATATATAATAAGAAGTTCAAAGATTAACATGTAACTCGAGGCACTCAAAGGGGCAGAAGATCATTTAATTGTCGAGGACTTGACATCTAATGATTGATAAATTGCTTATTAGTGGTAAAGTTCAATCAAACACACTTAATCTAAATAATGATATCCCAACGTAAATAATTTTTACATAGAAGGAATTGAAAGTTCTTCTCGTACACAAAGTCAACGTAATAGAAAAAAATATAAAAAGGTATTTCATAATTGTCAAATTGAAATTTGTTGTTATTCATTTATTTATAAAATTATAATGACGTGTGATTTGTTTGAATTTTCATAGAATGGAAAAGCATCGTTGCAACTGTGGATGAGGAAGAAATAGACATGACAATGTTTCCCTAGAAGATCCTATAGGCCACGATAATAGTGAAGGCTTTTAAGCCTTTTGTATCGATAATATTTAATTTTTATGTGAGATGACAACATACGATTTCATTGCAAAAAGATGATTTATTTTTTGTTAATTTATTGAATTATTTTGGTGTTTGATCTACTGAAAATTTTCAAGATTGTTTATGATTTATTTTTTATATTGTTCTTTTTATGTTTTTTACTTAATTTTTCATTTGTAGTAAGATTTACTCCTTGCCCCACGAGGCAAAAAAGCATTAGTAACTGATTACGCCTTTTTAAACCTTGGATACCATGATGAGGTAGCTACTAAGAATGTTGTTTAGTTGTAATTTATCTAATATACTCATGGCATCAAAGAGGTTAGAGTAGAAGAATCAAAGGAAAAGTTTAGCATGCCAAAAACTCTGTTGACCTGTAATACAAGCCAATGACAAATACATACAGCAACATGGATTAAATCTTCAGCAATATCACAATACCATACGAAATGATCACAAAAGATACAGCATCACCCACCTTATCTTTCACTTAATTCTACGAAGTGTCGACATTAATGGCTTTAAAAATGAATCACCTCGATAGGAGCCAGATTATGCTTTCGGAATTCTTTTTTGTTGTAAGCTATCACCACGCTCCCCCAACGATACGGCGCAGCCCATATTCTACCTTGAGAATCTAACTTTCCCTCACAGCTCCTGCGTAAATATACCTGACATTATTTCAAATAAAACGATACTAAAATTCCATATATGTCAAAAGGGTGCTACAAAGGGAATCGGGGGAAGAAAACAGAATTATATTAACAACTGTGTGGTTTCACATAGAACCAGTGCAACATGAACCAAGACATGGCATTAGCTTCGGCAGCATGGTCAAATAACATATTGTGAAGTTCAATGAAAGGTACAACACAAGTCATGGTAAGTACATGTTTTTCCTTCTCTAATTTCTTTTATATCTTTTATGTTTGGTATTTTGGGAGGTAGTTTGAGTTTCAGAAAATACCCAGTCATATTACATACGTTTGATCACTTTTGGTACTTTTTTAGGTGACCTATTATGTTTCTATGAGTGCTTTCATCAAGTTGTATAGAAACAATATATAAATAATAAAAAGTAATCATGAAATCTGTAAGTAATGTTGTAAGGAACTAGTATAGCATACTCCTAATAATTAGGCTTACAAAATAAATCAAAGATGCTTACAAAATAAATCAAAGATATGAAATGCCATAGTAAGAATTTAACAAATGAGATAATCCTAGTGAAGCGCAAATTATAAGCCTTACGCAGTGAATAACACAAAAATACCACAGAAGCAGTCAATTTGTCAAGAAGTGGCAGAACATAAGTACATGAGATCAACAATTGATCTTAAACAAAAGTTGAGTGGGAGACAAATAATGATAGGAATTAAAAAAAAAGATAACTGCATTCAACCTTCCATTTGTCACTTAAGCCTTGAAACCAGTCTTGATCTTCTGCTCCTTCCAAGGGCTCAATCAAGCCATTGTTGATGGCCAAACTTAACCATGAATCACCAAGAGTAACGGCATCCGCCATCGCAGCAGATTTAGGATTAACTTTGCCTTTGTTGAATGGATTAGAAAGTTCATAAAAGATGTCATGCAGGCTTCGTCGAAACTGTGGACGTAACTTCACTCTCTTTCCTTGTGATTGCAAGAATTCCTGCACGTTGGGGATTATGTGTAAACTACAGGAGCATATCCTAGGTTTCAAGACAATAATAAAGCAGCAAGAATAATTGAAAAATAAAAGAGAACTTATTTTAGATTATACTTGAATGGGATCCTGAATTGGTATCTTAACATAATCATTTCTTTAACAAGTTCAAATCGTGTTAACTAAAAGAACAGGAAAACTGAATTATACAGATGTCTACTCACCAAAACTGGCATAGCAAAAACGAAAATAATAATTAAAATAAATTGTTTAAAATCCACAAACTATCCAGTCCACTCATCTACAATGAGCTCCTCAACTGAATGTTTTCCTGTTAACTCCACAAGAGTTCCTCTTTATGAATATTAATATGCACCACCAGCCCCACGCGAACCACAGCTGGCACCAAGAATGGTCAAGTAAATAACTGCAAATACAATTAGCAGAAAGACGCACCTTGAGCCATAAAGGAGGTAGTGAATTTTGCAAAGCCACAATTGTTAAAGGCACAGTTAAAGCATATGTTTTGGATTTCCACCGCTCAAATGCTGCTTTCTTTTCCTCATCTTCAATGTCCTCAGCATTCCCAGATTTACCCACGCCATTACTGTCTGTATATCTAGAAACATTATTATTTTTTTGCCATTAAACACAACAACTACAGTAAATTACCATCATACCATGGGTTTCTTGCTGGTCTTGAAGCTGGGCCACGGAGGACGGAGAGGTGGAAGGAGGAATGCGGGCCGACGCTGAGGGCAGGGAAGCACAAAATCCGTTTAGGCTCAGGCCCAAGAAGAGAACGGAGGAAATAGTGATCTGCCGGATAACGTCTACCGCCGGCGACCTGTTTACTGAGAGCTGTATGGATGGCTTGTGAGAGTAGTGGATTGTAAAACGGGTCGGGTTCGAGTTCTGTCTAGGGCTCCGGCACGGTGGCATGTGGATTAGGCTGCTTAAGGAAGAGGACGAAGACACCGACATTTTCCGCGGGCCCGTGTGTATGCTAGAGAGAGTTTTCAAACCTTTGTTAATGGAATTTTTATTTAAAGAAATAAAAATAAAAGGATAACCAAATGGATTTTTCTCCGTCTTTCTTGACCACACATTTTTTTCAATAAAATAATATTACACATAAATAAATAAAAATTCCTTCATTTTTAACCACACAGTCTCAAAAAAAATATTTCTCTAATTATAAATTGAAATAATGGAGCCTAAACAGGAGCTTAGTCAATTATGTAATCAACATCTATAATATAGGATGTGTTTGTCTTCCATTATTGGGAGAAAAATAGAGTAATTAATAGTATTTTTTGAAAAATGTGTGGTTGAAATTTAAAGTAACTTTATTAATTTTTGTGTAGAATATTTTATTGGGTGAATGTGTGATGGAAAATCTTACTGTAGTAAACAATTTTTTGAAAGGGTTAGGTGCTCCCCCCAATAGGGGGCACCACATGTACATTATGGACATCATTATGTGTATCGTAATGTACATGTAGCATTATTCTTTTTGGAATAATGGTAGACAAACAAAGGCATATTAAATAAACTACCTTACTTTTCATTTTTTAAATATATATTTAATTTATTTGACAATTAGTTACCATCAATATACATGTACATTTGACATATTTATTTCACTTGTACGCCTTCATTAATGTATGAATTCCCTATTATTAATTCTCAATTAATTAACATTCGCATTAATTCAATTAATACTCATCTTTACTTATACATTTCACTGTTATTAATTCTAATTATAAGCTAATTAAAATTTTACATTTAAGAATGTATTTCATTATTTACGTTCATGTATACTAATTAACATCAAATTCTACTTAATTGAACATTAAATAAATGATTTAACATTTATTATCACGTATATATTCTTTTGTATTAATTTTAAATTAATTATTATTCAAGCATATTCAAATATTATTTTTATAGCACTTGTGAAACATTTCATAATAAAGTGCAACGCACGTTCAACGTTTATTAGTTATTATAAAAAAAAGTAAAGCATGATTGAACATGGAAGTCAAGTTTCCAGCTTTCCAAATCTAGACATAAAAATATATTTTCTTGTTTTTAATATTATTTTAAATTTTTAATCATTATAAAAATTATTTAATAATTAAAATAATATGTATCAAACGTTAAAACTTATAAAATACTATATTTTAATAATTTATACAATGAATTAATTATGCAATTTTCAGAGAAAAACATGTAACTAAATCAATTAAAAGGTTTTGAAAAAAAGGGAAATTGCACCCAACCAGAATTTTAAAGATCCAACTTATAAAATCAAATCTAAAATTTATTTATACAAAAATCAAATATTAATAATATTAAATATCCCCTATCTTTCCTCTATCTTCTCTTTCTAAATCGTAATTACCTAACCCCTAAAAATTACAAAATCCCAAATCACATGACCCACGTACTATCTCTCTCTCTCGACTCGGATGTCAACAAGTAGAAGAAAGGCGGCTTCGGCTCCGATGGTCGCTACTGGTTTGGGAGCACTACAGCTGCACACGATTGGCACAACGACGCCTCGCAGCGACAGCAACACCGCTGAACACGATCGTCGCGCACAACCTTGAAGATCGTGTACAGAACCACCATTCCGTACCAATGGTTTAAAGCTTCTACTTTAATCTATTTTCCTTGTATGTTGAAGCACTAATGGATTGATCGCGACGATCGTGTGCAGAAACCATTATTTTTCTCATGGATCTATTTTTCGTTTCAAGCGATGATGATTCATCGAGATGTCGATACGTGTTTCTCCATGTTAGTTTGCATCTTTTGAGTTGGTGTCGATGGTTGTAGTGTGGTAGAGGTAAAGGAGATTGTGGATTTGAGGTGGTCATGATAGTAATTGTTGAAAAGGGCACTAGCCTATAAATTTTTTGAATCGTGACATAAAAATAATTTGTGACCAATTAATTCGAAAATTTGTGACCACATATAATAGAGTTAATTAATAAAAATATATTTTTAATTAATTATTTCATAAATAAAATTTAATTAATATTTGATTTTTAAAATTTTAAACCTCATTTCTTAATTTTGAAATGAATCCTACTTAGAGCCTTTCTGGGAGTGATTTTTTTACCGTTGATTTGTGCAATGGTAAAAAATTCAAACAAAGCTACCGTATTCTGTGTCTGATGTGTCAACCAAAACGGACAAAAAACCAATTCTTAATTTCCAAAATCATGCCCAAACAGCCCCTTAATCTTTTAGATATGTAATTTTCCCTTTGAAAAAAAGAAAATAAATTTAATAAAGTGTACCTGGACGTGCATTTAACGATCTACTTGACATTTGATCACTTAATTTCGTGCTTACTGTCAAAGTGAAGCATTTCGCCCACACCTCATGCCTAAAAGTCACCTCATTTTAAAACATCGGTAATCGGTTAAATCGCTATTGCCCAATTCATCATTTTGAGATGTCAAGTGTCCACTAGCTAAATTTGAGTATAGTCGATGATCTTATCATTAGAATAGAATACTATAACAAATAATCTTTTAACTCCAACTACTTATTTAATGCTACCGAATACCATACAATCCTCCCCACAAAACATGTTATAGACGAATGAACCAACACATCAGTTTCAATAAGCAAATTTTATTCTCTACTATTCATTTGTTTTTCTTCTGCATATGATCAAATGCCTGTACTTGCTCCATTTAACTTCTATAGTAGTTACAATCCATGCAGTAAATACCAAGAAAGTATTACAAATGCCAAACTTAGTTTGCTGTAGAAGGCCAAGAACTTTTTTGGAAATTCACCGATAAAAAATAACTTAATTCTTCACCTCACTGTTAATTTACTAACATGGGATTACCGGGGTAAGGAAATTTGATATTTACAGTGGACAGCCATCTTCAGATATTTTGCTAACTGGAATTTTCTCTATTTTCTCTGCATAAGCTGAGGGGAACCATCCCGCCTTGCCATTGCATTCTCCTTCCGACCATCCATTTGAAGCCATCTGTCCAATTCCATGACCGAGGAAGAAATAAATTGGTAAATCAAAATTTCCAATTCGTTAAATCAAACATTATATCAGGTCTTTCATCGTCTCGAAAAATTCTAATTCTGCAGTTAGCTGGTCCTCATTTGTATGTACGTGCAGACATCTGTGTGTTTTTTTTTTTTTTAATCAAACATATAATACACACAGAGATTTATAGCAAGTGGACATATTTATCAACAAATAGGAAACAGTACATTGCAGAGTAGTGTCGAGGCATGTACAAGGCCCACTTAAAGGAGGCAATTGGCTGGTATAACTGACCTATATGGATGAAGTGCTTGATACAATGAAAATCCAATCCACGACAAGATTAGAAAATCATAAGCAACTGAGTATATATTATAAAAAAAAAAAATGGAAGTTTTAGAATACCACAAATAATTGTTTTATAAGTTGCATCTATTTTTATAGCCCAAGAAAAATTAAAGATATGCATATACAGTCGAAGAAATGAAGAATCCAAATATTAGAAAGGAAGTATGCATTTCAGAGGACGTAACTTGTTCAACTCTAGAATGGAAGCAGGACGGATGTAGGGGGGACTGGGCCGGGCTTCAACTTTTTGGTAGAAACTTCTCTTTTATGTAAAAATAAAATTTCATGAGCAAATTTTTTTTTTTAACATATTAGCCCAGCTTATAGTCCGGTCCTGAATCCATTCTCGAATGGAAGAGTTAAGGGAAAATTAGGGAAAACCAGGCATTAAGTATCTCCTTTTTAAAAATCAGGTTTTTAACTTTTTTTTTAATTTATCAGGTTTTTTATCTTTTTAATTAAATAATTAACTCTTTAAAACCTAATTTATCATTTTATCCCACACAA